AGTACAGGCCATCTGATCTGCTGCACACAGACACATAGAAGTGACTCAGATCCGCAGAATCACAATGTTGTGATTCAGATCTATCTACAGAGCCACTAAAGTTAATGTTTTATCTTGTTGTATATGAGGTTGCAACCCCTGCAAAAAGCTATTCGTAATAACATATCTTCATTATATGGCACTTTCAAAGTAAAGTTACAAAATGTTTTACGAGCAGCAACAATAGCAGACAACCAGAATAAAAAATAATTAAAGTTTGAGCAAAATATAGAGGTAAAAAAATATAGAAATGCTAAGTAGAAGAAGATAACAATAATACACTTTTAACACTCATATTCTGCCAAAGTGGCTATCTCAAACACACCCACACACACACACACACACTCACACACACACACACACACACACACACACACACACACACACACACACACACACACACACACACACACACACAAATGAATGTGACTTCTCTTCCAATAAATTGCTCATTGAAAACTTGTTGACGAAGGCCCAAAGAAAAGTGACTTCATTCTGATAATAAAAAACGTTGAAAGCATTTTATCAACTACCCTTTTCTTCCATGACTAAGATCAGGACGGCATTACTTTAATCTGATGAGCTGTTGGAGAGATGTTGATGCCAGTGTTCTCTCTAGGCAACATGCGCAACCAAAACACCAACAAAACTAAGAGCACTGACTAACCCACGTGCATGCACACACAAACACACACACCAACGCACTGAGCCTGCAGCCCGTCAGTACCATCTGCTGCAGCTCTCCGGCACAGAGAAAAGGTTTTGGGAGGAAGAGGAGGAGGAGGAGGAGGAGGAGGAGGCTTTTATGTTGAAAGGACACTTGAGACGCAGCATGTGCGGCTGCAGCAGAGCTCTTTATGGCGGGGGTTGAGGCAGAGGGCAGCCCAGGTTATTCAGGGTGAGCCAGTTCAGACAGAAAACTGCAGCATTGTGTGGAGCTAATCGCTGAGCTTTAGAGGCGTTTGTAGGCCTATTTATTTGCATGGAGCCATGTTCGCCGTTTCCCCTTGCTTCCAGTCTCTAGGCTAAGCTAACCTCTCTTCTAAATATAACTTTCCAATACAAAGCAACAGCATTGTAAATTATGTTTTAAAGAAAAACACATTTTATACTAGATTATGTTTGCCTTTAACTTAATATTTTAAAGGCCAGCATGTTGCAAAAAAAGACCCTACTCCTCACTTGATTTAGCACCTCAGTAAACATTTTACTAATAGGTTTATTGTCTTACTGTCAGTCAAATGTTATTGTAAGTGGCTTCATCTCCATCCTGCAGGGACTGTGTTGAATTCACACTTCAGACGAGTTTCTGCTGACTTTGGGGGGGTTGATGCTCCTCGTCAGGATTTGCTCCTGAATGGATGAATGGCAGTAGGCTTGTGCCAGGCACACAGCCTCTTCCTCTTCCTCCTCCTCCTCATCCTCCACTCTCTCCCTTTATCCTCATCATTAAATTGAACAGCAGATGGAGTAAGTGCAGGCTGGTTGTCGTGGAGATTTAAAGGGCTGATTGCATTTCAGCTGGCCGTGCTGTGTGTGTGTTTGGCATGTGTGTGTGTGTGTGTGTGTGTGTGTGTGTGTGTGTGTGTGTGTGTGTGTGTGTGTGTGTGTGTGTGTGTGTGTGTGTGTGTGTGTGTGTGTGTGTAGTGTGTGTGTGTGTGTGTAGTAGTACGTGAGTGTGTAGGTGTGTGTGTGTGTATATGCACATGTGAGGGTGCAGAACGGTGAATGATTCTGAGGTCTTAATATTATGTGGCAACTCTGCAAACATTGCTACGGACTTTGTCCTCTGATTTTATATCACCTTGCTTCTTTCTCTTAAGCCCTGGTGTGTAATTCTCAACTTTTGAAAGGTACATTTGTTTAAACATCAGTGGAAATTGGCCCCAGCTGATCAAAAGTTAAATTGCTCACTAATCCCAGATTCACTCTCTTTGGTTGCTTCGTTTCTGTGTAAGGCTTGATGCCAAGAAACGTCCATAACATATTAATAAACATCGACACGGTTTGAAAAAGATTGAAAAAAAGGAAGTCAAAGTTGTGTGTGTGTGTGTGTGTGCGTGTGTGTGTGTGCGTGTGTGTGTGCGTGTGCGTGTGCGTGTGTGTGTGTGTGTGTGCGTGTCACAGTGGGGCGTGGGGGCTGCAGCAGCTGTTGACTGCACAATAGTTTTCAGTGACAGGCAACATGCGGGTCAGACTGACTTTAGAGTATGGATCCAAAGAAACAAAAGCCTCTTAAAGGTTCTGAATCACAAATGAGAGAAAGAAAAGAGAAACCAAAGTGTGCCAGGAGCAAGAGATAAGCTTAATTACGCTGTAGCTTCACTTTGGGTTTTCAATTTACTTCAAAATGAGAGCAGCATCCTGAAATAAAGCTTCCAATTATGATGAAGGTAAAGTTAGTATGACTTTTTTTTATGTAATCGCATGTCGGAAAACATTTTAAAAGCTCACAGTCACTGTGATAATTTTGTTCTGAAATAACTTCCTGTCCATCACTTCTTCCTCAACCAAATTACGAACACACTTTAGAAAGGCTACAAGTAAAGGTCTTGTTGTTACAGTATTAAATGTATGACAGTATAATGACAAAAAATGTAGTTAAAAGATTTTTTACATTACATTAGATTTGTACTACTCATAATAAGACTGTTGTATTTGGTTAAGCTGGATATATAAATTCATTTTAACTAATGATTTTGTTCATCATGTGTTAATTTATTTCCCCATTACTTAAATTGTTTGGTTTATGAAAATAGTAAGAAATGCCACCTCACCGTCCTAGAGCCCAAAGTGACACCTTCACTATATTTGCTTTGACCAACCAACCATGAAAAACATTATATTCAAATTACAATAATCAAGTGTAGCTCCAATAGTAAAACTCTCCATTTGTTAACGGATCTTGATTTGTAAAGTAACCAAAGCTGTGAAAAGATATAGTGATTTAAAAATAGTAAATATTCTCCTCTAGCCTACGGTGTAGTGCAGAAAAGTAGCAATTGGCATTTAAGGTAAATAGTAAACTACAAGTTCTTCAAAACTGTAAGTACAGTATTTGAATAAATGTAGCTGTTTTATCAGATACCAAAATTCTGCAAAATACTAACATCAAAATTGAAATGGACAGCAGACATTCACTGAGTCTCTGTGTTAGCACCCTAGCTAGGCTAACAAAAATAAAGGAGCATCCTGTGTTAAGCTAACGTCTGCCTTTCTCTGATAACATGGCTTGCTGCCAAAATAATAGCTTATTCACTTTCTTACAGAGTCAGAGCACTTTCATATGTGTGCAGTAAATATACAGCTAAACTAAAGCCAGAAGGTGAGTTGTTATTCAAAAAAGAGCCAGATTAGCTGTTGTACTTGTCAACCCTCCCGATTTTCGCGGGAGACTCCCGATTTCATTGCCCTCTCCCGGTTTCCTCCCGGGGTCATATTTCTCCCGCATTTCTCCCGATTTCTGACCAAATCAGATTTACACACGACTGTTTCCACTCGGACTTTAATACAGCTACACCATTATTTGGTTTCCATGGTAACACGTCTCTTTAGTAGCGCGCGCAACTCAAAGTCTGAGAGGGTGAGGCAGATATTCACAGAAAACAGAACAAGAATCGACAACTGCTCTACTCTCTGCTCACTCCTTTCCTGTAAAATACAGGTCCAGCCCACACATATGCTCCATCAAGGACGGTGCTACAGGCCGCAAAGTCAGTATACTTAAAAATACAATAAGCATGTTAATGTTAATCTAACAGCTCCGGCGATCCACTAGCACCCCCCTCCCCCGCCCCCCAATTTTGCATTTTGAAATTCTCCCGATTTCTGAGGTCTAAAGGTTGGCAAGTAACGTCTTCATGCTAAGCTAACAGACTGTTGCCTTGAGCTGCATATTTAAAGACAAGAGTGGAATCAATCTGTTTTTTTAATCTAACAAGACATCAAATAAGCATGTCTCCTTGTGTTAAACTATCCCTTTAAATGTGTTGTATTACATTTTAAAGTAAGCCTGATTTTGCAACAGCGCTGCACAATATTAAGCCTAAATGTAGGCGATTATAGAAGAAGTTACCAGAATCAATTGTACGTATAGCTGTGAGATGACATCTGCCTCAATAAAAAGTGATTGGAAATTAGCTAAATATAAGACCTGACATGTGTGCCATTGTGTTCAATTTCATGCTTATTTCAGCTTTGCGGTTAGGCCGGCCACATCAAAAGAAAACCCAGAAAAGGGATCAAGAAGTCAAACTGGAGCAGGATGCCAAAGGAAGATGTATGTGGGAATTAATTTGTGCTTAAAACAAGTTAAACCCCATCTGAAAGTCAAAGTAAAGTCAGAAGGCAATATTGAATTCAAAGATTTTATTTCTTTCATCTCACAAATACATCTGATATTCAGTGAACACATAATTTCATTTGACAAATACAGCTGAAGTGAAACCTTCAGGAAGTACTTTTTCTTATCTTGAAATTTCAGACGCACAGGATTCTTGTTATTGAGACACTTTTAGTATTTTCCTCTTGATGTTACTTTTCTTAATTACAATTTTTCCAATCTTTTTTTATGGAATATTTTGTAATTTCTTTCAAATATTTATTCCAACAGGATGGGAACATATATATATATTTTTACCGTTTCTTTCTTCAGTTCATAATTGAATTCATATCATTTTTAACATTAACGTGAAAGCCATTTTCTAAAGTGAAACCTTTAGAGAACAAACTTTGTCTTTAATGTTGTTTTTATTGTTTTAGAATATTTTTTGTCATCGTTAAATTTCTAAAGTGAAACCTTTAGAGAATTAAGACAATTCTGGAAAGTGGGAAACATATCCGCTGATTGCAACTGTTGTCATGTTACTCAGCGAAGAGGTCGTCTTCAAAAAGTCTCTTTTTTAGACCACCTCTTCCTCAGCACCGCTTCTTCTCCTGCTGCGCGTGCTTTCAACGTGCGACGTTTGCTCTGTGGGACCACAGGAAGCAAAACTCGCATCTCCTCCCTCTCCAAACCTCATCCACACAAAGAATGAGGGTCGATGCGTCGCTCTTGTGGCATACCGGACTCTCATTCACATAAAGAAGGAGAGTCATCTTGGCATGGACGGGACAAGAGGCGACGGTTCACGGGGGGCCACCTTGGGCCGGCGCCGTGCTGCCTGGACGGAAATCCTCCTCAGGAGTATCCAGGGATGAGCAGAAACAGGGTCATCCGTCAGGATGAGTATTCCTAGATGAGAAGCTTTAACAGCATCTGAGCATAGAGAGGAGCCGAGGCCCGATCAGCGCCCAGGGAGGCTGATCTCAGGAACCCAGTCGTTGAGACTGCGGCTCTCCTCACAGAACAGGTGCAGCTTCGCCAGAGCAGGGTCCTCCCAAGACCCTTCAGCTGGGTTCTGTTGAAAATGAAGAGGAAATATGGTTTAGTGATGTGTTCCTTTCCAAAAAGCACCAAAAATACACTTCTCAAATGATTTAGAACCACATATTCTGAGCTCTACATACCGTGATGAGGACGCAGTGGGCATCTTCAAGCTGCTCCGCCTTGTCTCCAACGATCTCAGCCAGACGCTGCATGTCGCTCACTCTCACGATGCTGATGTCGTTGTCAAAGCAGAAGGACTGGATGAGGGTGAAGTGGATCTGCAGAGCAATATCGCACTCGAACTCCTCATCCGTGGCCAGGACGCAGAAAGACACGCTGTCTGGATCACTGTAGGGACAAAATAAAAGAAACAAGCCATGAGATTCCATCCAAAAACGACCCAAAGTGTGTAAAATCACTGATTCAAATGTTGAAACATTCAGTTGAGAGTTTCATACTTACAGGTTCATAATTTTGGCGCACTCGTAGACACCAACAGTCAGGGAGTCGTTTTCTTTAGCGGCCACCAGGACCTCTTCCAAGGCGTTACCGGTGCACTGGGCACGCTCGATGGGCTTCTGGATCAGAACTTCTTCAAGAGTCATGATGAAGATGATGAAGATTATTCCACGAGGGAGATAGATTTAGATAGTTTCAGTAAATCCGAAAGGGAGTAGAGTGCCTTCTGAGTCGCTGCCTCCCCTCTTTATACTCTGCAGCTCGTGCGGGGCAGTGAAAGCGCTGCGCCCTGATTGGCTGGGAGCTGAATGGTGTATTGGTATGATAATGCTATTGTAACACTGTGGCTCGTGGCAGATTGATGGGGGTCATCGAGCCACGCACGCCCCCCCTCTGAGTGCTTGCAGCCTGGACTGAAACTAAAAATACCTTCATTAAAATAAAAAGAAGTGTTAGCACTTCAGTGCAAATGACAGAAAACTCAGCCTTTCTGTATATTTCGTATTATTTATTCTACTTTATATATATTTATTTTTCCAATGTTTTGCATGTCTATCTTCACAGTTTATGATCATGTTTGTTGTATGTTGTTATATGATTAACTCCATGTGCAGTGCCTTGTATGCTGCTGCAACCAAACCATTTCCAAATTAAGGATACAAATGCATAATATCATATAATTGTTAAGCATGCATAACATTGCATGCGTTTATAATAATTATTAAAACTCACAAGCTGCATAATTTGTGCAACAGTGGGGACAAAATAATAGAAAATAACTGAGATTTTATATCCTAAAATGATCCAAACTAACTGATATGATTCATTTAAATGTGCACATCTTCAGCAGAGTTAGTAAAACCCCATAATGCACTTTCCTGACTTTCAAACATTAAATCTGAAATGAAATCTTTCCTGTTTTTTAGGTTTTTTGTTGACATTTTGCAGCACCAACATGGAAAAAGTGTGCAGCGCCCCTCCCCCCCCCCCTCACCCCCTCAGCACAGTGAAAGGGCAGGGTGATGATGCCATCTGTGGACTAGAGGCTGGCCATAAAAACGGCCCATTGTGAGCACAGAAGCCCTCTATTATTACGGCCAGCCATACAAATGCAAATGAGGAGCGCGTGCCAGAACGCTGTGGGTGCTGCGCAAGCTGCACTGCTGGCCCATGCTGACCACGTGTCCACCATCAGCTGGCCCTGCTCGCTTTTTATTTATTTACTCTGGGGAGTTCAGTGGCCACACGAACTGAACTCTAAAGCAGAACTTGTGAAGTTTATTGCACTTTTGTTTTGAGTTTTGGTGGGTGGAGTCATCAAATGTCTCCATCTGGAGGATTGAATTAAACCTATTTTTTTTTTACAACTTTAGGAATCAAGAAACTTTTACGCAATGTATTATATCTGTGTATGCAACATTTGCTTTGATGATGTTTATCTGTGCACTTAAATTCAGTTGTTTATGACACCCTTTTGTTTGTTGCCAATCACTTTTACGCACGACCAAACGTTTAAGCACAACTATATTTACGTCATTTTTTTACAAGTGTGTTTAGATACACTAAATGTCTTTATCTATATCCATCCATATATAGGTTATAAACTATTTTTCTGTGAACCTTCTATTAATTTGAGATCACTTTTACGCGCGACTAAACTTTTACGCACGACTCAAATACATCTGTTTTACTGATAACGCAGTATCTCCCTAATAGCTCCTGCTTATTTGGTTCTATTCTATCTGCATAATAATCCAAAACTCATCTCGCATCAGGTCAGACCTGCTGCCACTGCTGCGTAAATAGAGGAGGGGGGTTGGCTGTGCAGGAGACACAGGTTGGCGGTGATTGATTCAGCGCTATTGTTCTGCAGCAGGGAGAACGGCAGATGGAGAACTGTCGCTATGAGGGACCCCCCTTCTCCCCTCTCCTAAACCCAGGTCAACACCGACCCCTGGGCGCGCCGATCCTTTGTCTACAAGTCTCCACATTCGCCAGGCTGTTGTCTGAGTTTTGATTACATTTGAATGCCAAAGAGTCGTGCTTATGGGCTAAACTTTCACAATGAAAAGTGTTATCTCCAAACGGTGCCAGACACGTAAAGGAAGATATAAATCAGGTTCGGGTTGCGCTGTAAACACGTGCTAGAAGGCTCAAAGTGTTTGTTTTTTATAACAACACAACTCTTATCTGTGCATTTCACCAAATGTGTATGTATATACCATCGCTTTTAGTTTCTGCAAACTCATCAGCACATCAGCTTCATGCTAACGTTTGATTTGGAACCAGCTGAGGGAGGTTCAAACACTGAGCTATTTTAGGAAGGATCAGCTTGCATGGCCACAGGGCAGGCAGGCAGGCGCGTGCAAATCGATACCGACCCATTGTTGCTGCAACACATCTGCCACACGGAGGCCTCCTCTGCAGCGCGCGACAGGTGTTGGTGGTCAAAGCTCTCTTTTTTCCTGGTGACCTGCGGCGACTCGTAAACCCTGAACCTCTTTGTAGGGATAGAAGGGCTCTAAAGCTGCAGGATGATATGTTGATGTGGCTTGCGGGGTGTGCAAATAGGACTTAAGGTTGAGGGAAATAAAAGTACATAAAGAAAAAGTACAACATTTTAATAAATAAATCAAATAAGTGTTTTTTGAGACATAACAGCCAACTTTTGTGTTTTTCTGCATTCTACTTGCATGTATTTGTCACTTGCACCATTCTATTGCATTAAGTTATTTGAATTTTGTCTTGCATTATTTGCTAATTATTTTATGTGTTTCTGTGTTGGATTGTTGGAAGAGCCTGCGATTTAAGATTTTAATTTCCAATAATAACGTGCAAAGTGCATATTACAATAAAGCCTTTGCATTTAACTGAACAAGAAGGTATGCTACCTTTTTTCAACCTCAACACTTTAAAATCCTATTCCCAGTGGACTGAAAACTGCCCCTCACGCGCAGCAGGTGCTGCCTGACTTGCTTTGTCTGCTCACCCCCTTCACCTCCCTCCCGCGGGGACAGATGGTATCTCTCGGTTGCTAAGGGGAGTGATGCAGACAGAGCGATAAAGCACGCAGGCATCTCCAGATGCCACGCGCCTCAAGTGAGGGCCGGCCTTTAGGCATGCAAAGCAGCGGCGCGTGCTACTGCCCAATCTACAACAAACAGTGCATGCAGTGAAATCGGTCTTGAGTTATAAAAGTGTGCCTGAAGTCCTATGCAAATAAGATGCATGGTATCTTTGCATTATGATGACACATGAAAAAGTATCAACTGCAACGTGTTAATTGATCACTGGATCTCCAAACTTCCAATAATGTTATATTTTGATTTCGTAATAGTTGAAACGAAGTTTAATCTGCAAATATTTTGTAACTGCATAACAGTCATTTGGAGCACCTGTTTTGGCAAATGTTTGCAAACGTTGTGTGTATTTGAGTGTATGCATGCTGTACATTTGGAATGTTACTCTTTATAAGTAGCCTTGTTTTCCAAAACATTAGGTCAAATCAACATTTTAAAGAAACTCCCAAAAGGTATACATTTTTGTAATACTCCTTAAATAGTTTGTATACTCTGTTGATAACATCAACTAACGTCTTTAGATAAACTACAATTACGTCAAAGCAAACAAACATGCTTATCATATACCTTAAATCCAAAAGCATTTAATTTTTCACGTAAAGGAAAAAAGAAGAAAATATGTTTGCTTTTTTTTAAACCATAATAAGGAGGGATGATAATTTAAAAAAAGGAACACTTACATATTTAGAGTAAAGCTGATTGCAATACAGTTATTATGAAGGGGACTATCATATGTGCTCATAATCCCTTCAAAGTGGCACTCATTCAGACTTTCAAACCTTTTCTGGAGGCTTTAACAAAAAAACACAATGCAGTGAAAAGATCACTTTTGACATGAATATATCTGAAGGGAAACCTTAAAAAGTAGTTTAAAAACTGACACGCATCTTGAAATATGCAAAAATAAAGAAGAACAACATCAAAACAAAACACTTCTTGAATATTTATTTAAGTTATTTTGAACAAAAACCAGGCAGATATGATTTCCATATATTTTCTGTTCAGCAGAACATCGAAAAGACTCCTGCTTATGGTGGGGAATCTGTTATAATGAACAACAATTTTCAATACATTTTGGAAATACATGTCTTCCTAGAATGGTGGCACAGTTTAAAAATGTTAAGATGTAATGCCAAGTTTTGCTCAGCGATGTGAAGAAATCTATTATTTCTGAGCAAATGACTCGATATACATATTATGACAATATTGTAAGGTGGACCATTGGTGCTTTATTAACAATATCTAGACTGAGAGTATTCAGTCATTTGGATTTACTGACTAGGTTCTAAAGGTTTCAAACAAAACCACTTGAACAGTCTGATTCAGAAACCCTTGTCTGTTGTACAAGCCTTAAACATTTAAATTACGTTATTTAACATCTAAGACAAAAGCTAGTATCATATCACAATATTGATACTGTATCGGTCCATTGCCCAACCCTGATGTACTAGATATGTATGGTGAGGGTCCTCGTTTGAATGTCAATGGCTGCTCTAATTCTTCCAGAACTTTGACGACCACAGTCTGCTCTTCCTGTGTGGTTTCATTATCCCTGTAAGCTAGCCAAGGCAATTATTTAAAGGTCAGAGAGTTTCTACATCTGATCCTTTCAACCAAGACTTCCCCCGACTTCTAAGACTTTCTATAGGCACGCGCCCCAGAGAATGGGGTGGGGGCTACAAGCCTGTTGTAGCCATTGTGCTTCACACGGCCAATCAGAGAGTGAGCGTGTGCCAGGGTCTGGGGTATATAAGCTTGCAGATTCTAAGGAAGAAGCACAAACTGTCTTCTCTGGACTTACTGACCTCATCATCTGAACTATTACCTAAAGCATCATGCAGTCACCCGGGAAATCTCTGAAGGAAGCTCTGCTCTGCGCTCAGGCTGAGGAGCGACTCACTGTTGGAGTCTACGAAAGCGCTAAGATCATGACTGAGTAAGTACACTACACGTGTTTTAAAAGTGACTTTGGCATCGTCTCTGAGCAGCCAACATGATGATCCTAGAACAGCTGCTAACTGATCTCTAACCCTATCTCTTCTTTGTTCCACAGGGATCCAGACAGCGTGTCTTTCTGCGTCCTGGCCACCGACCATGAGTTTGACATCGCTCTGCAGATCCACTTCACCCTCATCCAGTCCTTCTGCTTTGACAACGACATCAGCATCGTGAGAGTGAGCGACATGCAGCGTCTGGCTGAGATCGTTGGAGACAAGGCGGAGCAGCTTGAAGATGCCCACTGCGTCCTCATCACGGTATGTAGAGCTCAGAATATGTGGTTCTAAATCATTTGAGAAGTGTATTTTTGGTGCTTTTTGGAAAGGAACACATCACTAAACCATATTTCCTCTTCATTTTCAACAGAACCCAGCTGAAGGGTCTTGGGAGGACCCTGCTCTGGCGAAGCTGCACCTGTTCTGTGAGGAGAGCCGCAGTCTCAACGACTGGGTTCCTGAGATCAGCCTCCCCGGGCGCTGATCGGGCCTCGGCTCCTCTCTATGCTCAGATGCTGTTAAAGCTTCTCATCTAGGAATACTCATCCTGACGGATGACCCTGTTTCTGCTCATCCCTGGATACTCCTGAGGAGGATTTCCGTCCAGGCAGCACGGCGCCGGCCCAAGGTGGCCCCCCGTGAACCGTCGCCTCTTGTCCCGTCCATGCCAAGATGACTCTCCTTCTTTATGTGAATGAGAGTCCGGTATGCCACAAGAGCGACGCATCGACCCTCATTCTTTGTGTGGATGAG